CCCACCAGATGTTTGAGGACAATTTCAATTTAATAGCATTTTTATAGCACCTACTGTCTCTAGTTTACCCTTGATCCCACCTCTGGGCTTCAAACTGAGTTGTCTTGTACATTTGTATTTCTTACTTGCACCAGCATGCCTGGTTAAAAATGTGCTTTAAAGTGGATTTAATGTAACAATTCATGCCTTCCATGCAGGGGAGGGCCCTGTCAGTGAGTGCTTAGAAAGAGATCCTCATGCAGTGGTTTAGTGACCTGTGGGAGACAGGCAGATTCTCCGTAGCCACCTGTTCCTGCTGAGACACAGGAACTGTGCCTTCTTGTTGCTTACTGTCAAGTGTGCTACTTTTCTGTCTGCATGCAAAAGGCAGAATGCAGATACGAGCTGCCATGCTGTGGCTCTGCAGATGCACAGGGAGTCTGCAGAGCTGACCTCTGAGGGTCCCTCCAGACATCTGTCATGCCTAGTTGTGTCATGTCTGTGGTCACAGTTCTGCATCCTGGCTTCCTGAGTCTCTCATGGTGGCCTTCGGTGATGACCACAAATGTAAATCTTGCCAGGAATCTGTGGCACCATTGATAATCCATTGCCTGTTTCCATTAAGTTTCCTATTGGGAATTTTGGAGTGTAAATGTAGCAGGTGTATCTTCCAAATGCACCTTGAGCTCTTGGGGGCATCAGCAGGGCAGTGATCTCTGGCTGCCACACACCTCTATCTGGAGGGAAGGGAGGTCCTGCTCAATCAGCTTACACAACTTACACAGTCTGGGGACCATGGGGCACCATGTCTGAGAAAGGCCAGGATTTGGCCTGGAATAGTGGGTGGCACTGGTACCTCTTGAGATGGGGTGCAGCTCCCTAGAGGAGGGGCTGGGTGGCCTTCCCAGGTAGCAGAAGTGGTGGGTGGAGAGGACAGTGGCAGTGTTCTGCTAGAAGCCGGAGCCCCCGTGGGTCACAAACATCAGGACCCCCTGTGGAGCTCTCCTGTCTCACACCCCTGACCTCATTCTGTGTCTGGCCCAAGTCATCCTACAGTAGCACCTCAGCACCATGGAGGACAGCCTGGCCTTTCCAGATCCTGGGACATAAATACTGCTTGCCTGCCTGCCAGTGGTGGTCCTGTCACTGGTCTCCCTCCTAGAAAGAGGGTCTGTGTGAATCCTAGGACTTTTCAGGCACTTGGGAATGTTTAGGATAGGGTGTAGAGTTGACTGTGCACTCAGGGAAGATACCAGGGGTCCAGTCCAGGCTTGGGGCGCCTCTCTGCCCTTGATGGCACAGTTTAGGAAATTGTGCAGAAGGGCCCGCTGGCAGCCCAAACTTACAGGAGACCTCTATGAGATCTGAAGCAGCCTGCAGGACATCTGCAGCAGGGCGGCCTGCTTGGGTCCCCAGGATGAACTGCTGCCTGTACCCATGCCCTCAGGAGTGGTCCAGGCTGGAGAACGAGCTCTTAAACCATCAAGCTGCTGAGAATAAATAGCTTTATGGATGGGAAGCATCCTGGGACTTCTTTTTTCCAAACCCTCAGATCCTCAAAATGTGAGAGGCCAGCTCCCCACTTCCTAGGAAGACAAGAGCCTCTGGACCAAGAATCTCTGTAGCTCCTTAACTCATGCAAATATGGAAAGAACTCCAAGGTTTGAAAGCGAAAACAGTTCACTGTACTCACTCCACAGGCCCAGACCTCTTTGGGACCCAGTACCCAGAAGGAAGATGTTTTCATTTTGGGGCCAAGCAGTAAGCCGGTGACATTTACCTGCTATGTGACAGCACCATTTTAGTCTGGGTCTGTTTGGCCAGGGGAGAATAATCCACCAATAGCTGGAAACATATGATTAAGAGGCCTTCAGTTAATACTGGGGACACAGAGGTCATCACGCCTCTGCACTTCCAATGGGAAACAGTGCGGAGTGCCCCAAACTCCCGATTCTCAATGTATTTGCTCCTTTTCTGCTATCTTGCACTAGTGTATCTGAGAGATGGCTGATCTAACTAAGCCAATTCAGATGTTAGAGATGCTAATCTTTCCCAGGACTGTAAAATCTCATGTCAAAATAATCGGAAAAAGGGTCAAACTGAAGTGGAGAAAAGCTTGGGCTACATCAAGAGACCATCAGCTTTTTCCTTTCAAGGTCATGAAGTAAATTAGGAACAATCACAAAATGGTGCCAGGTAGAAATAAACATTTGTAAACATATGTAAAATGTATTTATTTATTTATTTTTGATACCAGGGATTAAATTTAGGATGTTGTGCTTGAACTATTTATAAATCACACATTAACAGTTTTCTTATAAGTGATGACCGCTTAAAGATATTTTAGGCATTTGAGGGAAATACACTTTTTATTAAAAATAAGTTAAATATCTACTTTGAAAACTCATTTTTAGGGGGTGGGGATCGGGGTGGGGTTTGAGACAGGATCTTGCCAGGCAGTTCAGGCTGGCCTTGACCTCACTCTGATCTTCCTGCCTCAGCTCCTCGAGTGCTGAGATCACAGGCGTGTGCCAGCACACCCATACTTGTTTGTGTGTAAAAACATGCACAGAGAAAAGATAACTTTAAATGTAAACATTAGTAAAGTCATATATTTAAATTGTCTTGTGTTTGGTTTGATGATTCTTTTTTATACAAGGTCCACTATGTAGTCAAGGCTGACTTTGAACTCATCGGTCGGCCCAGGTTAAAATTAACCAAATGTCGTGGTAAATTGTAAACTAAAATGAGAATCAGATATAACCAAGATAATCTCATTGCTCTTTTTTAATAGCTGAAATATCACAGTGCCAGAACATCTCAACCAACTGCAGAATATCCAGGGAGAGGACACACTCTCTCCCCAAACCTTGAGATCAACCACACTTGTTCAAGTGGCCTCATGCCCTCCAGCTTGAGCTTTCTTAGGAGAGAGAGAGAGAGATAAAGACCATAACAGCCTAGGAGTCCAGCCTAGCATTGGAGAGAGACCTCTCCATGTTGTCACTTTACGGTTTTTCTCTACACAATGTGTTTGGCATCATTTCCATAGCTTGTGAAGGAGGGTGCCTGTCTGTCCCTGTCACTCCCCAGCACTTACTTTTCCATCTATGGGGACCACAGAGCCTCTAGCTGCTTGCAACTGGCAGCATTACTCAGCAACTCCTCTCCTTCAGAGCTCACCGGCCTCCCCAGTGAACTGCATGCCTGTTACCAGTGGCTACCAGCAGCTGTCTTTTGCATTTTAACTCGGGTTTGGATCCAGGGCCTGCACACTCAGCTGCATCCCCACCTACCTCACCTACCCCCTTTTTAAAACTCTGAGACAGGGTGTTGCTAAGGTGCTGGGCTAGGCTTGAGTTTTTGATTCTTTTGCCTTAGCTTCCCGGCACACCTGGCTTCTCAGTCTTGTTCTTTTCATATACTACACATATATTTACGCCTATCAGGCTTTGCTTTCTTTTGCACTGTCGTTTAACCTGCGATCACTCCTCCCTTTGTTGTAAAGACTGGGGCTTGTTTAGCTGGCAGGTAAGGCTTGGGAGGTTGTAGACTGAAGAAGGTCACCGGTTATTGGAAAGCTATTTGGGAAAAAAGTCAGTATAGTAATTCCAGCACGAGGATCTGGGGGAGACATAGAAAGCTTTCCTGGACAATGAGTTATCCTGGGTGGGATTCAGAGGTCCGCGAAATAAGACCAGGAAACCACCCTCCCACCTACAGCGTCCAAGAGGGCTGGAAGGTCTGCTGCTTGGAGAGACAGCCTGGCAGAGCTGCTCAAGTTCCAAAGGAACGGGTCCTCGGGCGGCCCCTGCTGGAAATCCTGGGCCTGCAGTCATCGATGTGCGCCCTGTTTAGGGATGCCCAGGCAGCAGTGGCTGGGGTCTCCCTCAGGGCGCTCTTGCTGCCGTGGTAGGAAGTGTGGGGCCAGGAATTGCACGTGACTCCTTCGGTGTGTGCTGGCCCCGAGTGAGGCTTCGTGTCCTGACTTGACGAATGGGGCTCTCATTTCCTATTTCTAAGCTCCTCGGACACTGAGCCCATGAAATACCTTCCCACGCAGGACCTCTTAGCAGTGGGCTAGTGAGAGTCCAGAAGGGGAAGCGCCTGTGGGCGGGCGACTGCGAAATCCACCACCAGGCCCGTGTGGACTTGCAGGTCTCCCCAAGGACCGCACCCTGGGGTCCCAGGAAAAGGCTGTGCAGGTCATAGGACAGAAGGTGACTAAGGGGGTCATAGCGTGCGTGACTAAAGGGACCTGCATTTCCAATCCAGTTACTATTGTCTGTGAAGCAAAGGACTAAATCTTGAAATTGATGTGAGAAAATTAGAAACTCGTGGAGTTCGTGCTCACAGTGTTCTGAAGAGCACACTTTGGCTCTACCTGTGCCTGGGGAAGGGTGGATTGCAAATTCTCTCATGGAAAGAACTCTGGAATTTCTCTTCCCTTTAAAAACTGCTAGCATCTCTGAAATTCCAGTATGCCTGTGAGGTGAGTGGATAGTAGTAGTATTTTTTAATAGACGGGAAAGTGGACCTATAAAGATTTCATACAGGATTAGTAGGCTGTAGAATTAAAACAAAAACAAAACCCAGATAATGTGACTGACCTTTTTGTTATTACAAGGAAAAGAATAATTTCAAAACAGCTCAGCTGGTGAGACTGAATGGGATGTCTCACACTAATGTTATTCTATTTTTTTAATGTATGTAGTACAGGGTCTCATTTCACAGCTCAGACTCGCAGTGATTCTCGTCTTGAGCCTCCCTAGTGTCAAGATTACAGACATGTGCCACCATGCCAGGTCTTGATGGCTGGCTCGGCGCACCCAGGGATGGGGCTGGTGTGGCATGTGGTGCTAGGGATCGAACTCACCTAAGCAGGTGCTTAGTCCACTGAGCTATCTCTCTGGCCCATAGCAATGTTTTTCTACTATGGATCAAAAATCATGAATGGGTTATCACATCAACTTACTCAACCACTATGTTTTTCTAAATAGAGTAGAAAGAAAAATAAAAAATACCAGAATGGATCACACATTTATTTCAGTGATTGTATGTCATACATGTTACTCATCCATGGTATAGATAGATCATGTTCCTTACTAACAGTTATACTCAGAAGTGGTCAGAAGTCACTCTGCACAGCATCCTTCTGTCCCCGGCTGGCTCTGTGTCACTCACAACATCATGCATCACACCCTCCCTCCCGGTCTGCCAACTTGTGAAAGTAAGATTAATGTCTGGATTACTTTTCCTTTACTGCAGTAATTTCTGTACTACTTAACACATGACAAGTGTTTAGGAAGCCTACAAGCTCTTATTCTACTGAGCTATCTCCCTGGAACCATGTTGCTTCTAAATAAACTTCTAACACAGACTTTCAGAACTGCTGACTGCTCCTGGTGACCCTCCTTTGTTCAGTTAATACCAAGTACACCTGTAGGCTGGGGCTATGCAAGTGTGGCTTTGAACCATCTTTTCCTTATTTGTATGCATGGAGGCCCAACAGACAGGAGTTCAGCAGACAGTATGGCTACTATATGGATTTGAACTTCTGTTTTTCAAAGAGCTCCCTCAGCTGCTGCTCAGTGGTGGCTTCCTTCTGCTGCATCAGCTCAGCTGTGCCCTTGGTCACGCCCCAGGCATCAGGCTTGGACAGAGCAGGGTTGTAGGGCCTGCCGGAGGCTATCCGGAGACTCTGCCAGTACTCCTTCCGGGCCCTGTGGGAACCAAGCAAAAGCATCAGTTCCAGCCCCACCTGTCCATTCTGTCACTGAGCTACAATATGCCCTTGGCCATCCTCAGACTCTGAGGTCCTTTTACCCCTGAACTGAGCTCAGGTCTAAAATTGCCTTGGATTTTCTCTTTCAACATGCGCATAGGGATCAGAAGCTTAGAATTCAGAGAGGTGATGTTTTCTGTGTAGTGTCGTGACCTGTCACGCCTCACATTCCACCCCTGTACCTTGTGGTCTGGCTCCAAATGGCATCTACACCTCCCCCTCCCTGGAATCTGCTGCTTTCCATCTCCTTTCTCTTCCCCTGTCTCCTGGCTTAGGCTGCCTCCTGTCTGGAAGCGTTCATCAAAGGTGTGCGTGCAAGGCTGTGGCACTCTAACTAGATGGCCTACCCTCCAACGGCTGCTTGTCACACTCCCGGCCCCTTGCCACTGTGTCACACAACCTCTTCCAGCTTCCACTCCACTGCATTCAGACTTCTGATTTCTTGTCTTTCTGCACAGGCTTCTTTCCACCCCCGGGGCTCGCTGCAAGCTGTTCCTGTGTCTGGGACTACATTCACTCTCTAGAACTTAGCACAGGGAGCTGCGGGCTCAGCCTCCACCCGCCCCCTGCATCCCCTGCTTCTGTCCGAGGCTGTGCCCATCTCCCTCCGTTCTGAAGCAGCCCTTCCTTGTCTACTCTGCTGCAAATCCTTGGGGCTGGGGCAGCGCCTGCCCATGTACACACAGCAGTGTCCGACAGAGGTGTGTCTGTGAGTGTCTGCTGAGTGGTGTGGAGTGGCTCTGCTGGTGGGCCATCTTCTAGCCTGCCTTCTCTGCTCTGCTTTTACAACTCAAGCCAGGCACTGGGGAGACAGCTTGGCAGTCTAATCGTCTACCTGTAGCACAAGGACCTGGGTTTGATCTGGGTAGTGCATGCTGTGGGGCCACAGAACCCGGAGCCCAATGTGCCAACCACTGAAACTAAGTGTGGTGGCACATGCCTGTCATCCCAGTGCTGGGGAGGCTGAAACAGGAGGATCACTATGAGTCCAAGCTGCGCAGTGAGACCTGGTACCAAATAAATACATAAATAATTTTTTTAAAAGCCAAAAGACAATTCTGGAGTATCTTTCTATCTGGCAGAGTTGGTCATTCTCTTGTCACTTTGTTACCCATTCCTCTACCGCAACAGTTACTGCAGTATAGTATAATGGGTTTCGTATCCATTTCCCTCACAGCCTATGAGTCTCTGAGCCAGAGACCCCAGATTCCCACTTCTGTAGCATTCCTCATGTCCTCTACCTGCTTGATATAATTTTTTTTACTATTCATCCCTGCCACTGGAATTTGGGCTCTGGGGAAGAACCTTATCGATCTTGCTGACTACCACATCCCCACTGCTGCACATCTTGGCACAGAACACGTAGTACTGCTGTGTTTACTTTGTGCTTGACTCTTGTAAATCCACATGGCTCTGCCTTTGTGACCTCCATCACCACCTGTATTGCTCACATTCTGCATTTATAGAGCCTTCTCCACCAATCAGCTCATACAGCTGTGCTATAATCATCTCTGGGAGAGAATCTCATCATCATATAGTAAGTCAGTTGACCTCTTTCAGTGGCCTTGCTTGGACAGTCAATATTCAGATCCAAACTGGTTTGTGCTAGCAAATGATACTCACCTCGCTCTAACCCAGGGCTTGGTGTGCATGTTCAAGCCACTTCCCCAGCCTCCATGCTTTTCAGAAGCAGCTGGCAAAAAGCCTCTTTCCGGAGCCAGCTCCTCTGCAATTGCCCTGATATGATAGGGCTCAAACCCACAGCATCCGCCAATGTACCGGACCCCCAGGTTGTAGGCCTCTCTGGCATATTTCTGAATATCCCATCGGGTGGCGACTCTGGGCTCCAATCCTGTGATAAATGTCATTATGTCTATATTATTTTTATTACAAAATTCAAAATTTTAAAAATCCAAGATGAATAGCTATAATAAAATTGTCAATAAGCTGAACGGGCTGAGGATACTCCTCCTGTCTTAGATTCTAAACTGCTGGGGACTCTGGATTGACACATGCAGTCTTACCTCCCAAAGACCCCAGGCAGCTTCTGTCTCTGTATGAGGGTGACCTGCGAGGCTGGCAGTATGTGGAGGGGGATGCTACGTGGACTTGGGCTGGGTTACAGAAGACACCTTGGCTTCTATCTGACTTGGCTAGGAGCCCTTGCCCCAGGGAGCCAGCTGCTGTGCTACAGAAATACTTGTGTCATGGTGGAAGCCCAGGTATGGAGAAGGTCTCCATCCACAAATGGCAAGCACCTGCACATATGGGCATGTAGATCCGTATTACCCACTAGGTTCTGGGGGCCTTAGGTCTGGCCAAGCTCTGGCCTACAGCCCCTTTGACACCCCTGAATGAAATCCACCCAGCTCCACTGTACCTGTATTCTGACCCATGACACTGTGAGATAGTACATCTATAGCAAAACCAACCCAAATGCCATGCCTGCCTTCTGTATGTTCTCCTCAGGTCATTATTTTCTAATACTTTATAATGTCTCTGAGTATTGTTGTAGGATACAGGATTTAGGATAAGGACCTTAGAGTATGAAGGAGGCTGGTGGGCTCCACCCTGGCTTCCTCTCACTTGAATTTCAAAGTGGGCTCACCCCTTCTTATGACTTGTACCTAGATGTATCCCCAAAGTCTCATGCACTCACAGGTGGGGCTTTTCAGTGGGGGCTGGCTCTAGAGTGTGTGATGCTGGGATTAAGGGTGCATGATTACTACATCAGCCCACTGCTTGGTTGGCATCACCGGAAGCCAGGAAGCCTACATACGGTACAAACAGAGAAGAAGAGCTGCTGTTGTTGCTGGGACTCGCTGTTAGCAACGTCTGCCTTCTGCCTGCCACAAACTATTTCTCCTCTGCCATCCACCCTGCCGTGGAGCCAGCTGACTATGGACTGAAACCTCTGCAAACAAATAAACCTTTTGTTTTTTAACTGTGGGTACCAGGTATTTTGTCTCAGCAACAAGAAAAATAAGCCACCCCACTTCCCAGGATGTAGAGATGCTCACTCCCTGGCAAGCACCTCAGGAACCCCCTGCAGCTCAGTTACAGCAATATTTTCAGAGAAAATCACACTGTGGATACTGCTTGTTTATCTGCTGGGTTTTCCTGATGATAAACTAAGATCTAGAGAAAATGAGGGATTTCTCCTTCAGACCATACAACAGAGCTAGAGCAGTCCACTGTGGGGCTCTCTTCTGCAGCTTGAAAGCATGATGGATTAGTGTCAGGTCTGAGCTCATGGGGAGTTTGTAGGCTCCCCCTGCCCAATCTCCTTCTTCTAATATCAAGGGAATCAGGGCGGCAGGGCAGATGAGAGCTTTGCAGCTATTGCTTTGCCGTGACAAAAGCTCTCTGGCTGTATTTATTTGAAATTGATCAAGCAAAGATAGTTAGAGGATTTATAAAAGCATGTGTCTTACCAAAGGGGAATTCTGGGAGATCAATGAAGCCCTGCTTGCCGCAGTCAGGCGTGTGGTAGGCCAGGGGCTGGCTCATGAGGTAGGCTTTGAGCCTCGCGGCTTCCAGGCCCTCCTTCATGAGCTTCACAGTCTGCAGGCTGGTTGTGGGGTCGAAGTGGCAGTTCACCCCCACGATGGAGGCACCTGCAAGAAGAGGGCAGTGAGCGCTGCACTGACTCTGTGCTCTGCAGGAAGCCTTTTGTGGAGTGATGGACTCTATGTGCTGCTGCAGCCCGCACTTCCCACAGCCTAGCTCAGCTGTGAGTGAGAGTGTTTCTAGCGGGCAGAAGTAAAATGCTTCCAGGAGTCTGGCAGAACTGAAGTGTCACTTGTGCACTGCGCTGGCCATCTTTTTTTTTTTTTTCCTATGACCAATTACTAATTACTAAAGATTTATTTTATTTTGCTTCCAACTATAGCAGTCCATTTTTCAACCCTTGGTATTTCGTGGCAAGCACAATTTCCATCCCTCCCGGCTGCCACACTGCACCTGTGCTTACCACAGCGCTGCTCCCTGGAGGCGTAAGTAAGCACTCACCACGCATTTCACTAGCCTTCTTGGGAAAAGTAGCAGAAAGAAAAGCTTTTCAGAAATCTATTTTCCAGAAGGAGTTTTGTGTCTAAGGTTAGTGGTTGGTAGAAAAACACATTAAAACATACTGACCCAGGGACAAAGCTCAATGGCACAAGGTCCTGAATTTGATACCTGATGAAAAAAAAAATCCTTCGCCTTGCGCTGATCTATGGGGCCAGCAGCCCTGCAGTTACTTTTCAGCCTCTCAACTCCTAGCTACGCGCTTCAGGCTTTTAAAGCCTCCTTCGGAGATGCGCTGCTGTGGAAGGCTGAGTCAGCGAGAACAGAATGGCTTTAGACACTTGCTGTTTTCAAGGACTTTCTTGATAGTTGTCATAATCCTAATTGCATCCGGGCCAATGAAGATTTATCATGACACCGTTGGACATGATTTTAGAAAAAAAA